TTTGTGTCTTTTTGGCACCAGGTGTTGTCAGCCTCTGTCTCTGGTGACACTCAATGGGCTTCTCTTTCTGATGATAGTATATAAAGAATAGAATTCTAGCACTTCTTTCTTTGGATGATAATGGTATACTCAACCAAATAAATGAGCAGTTTCATCTCATTGGGTTTATTAGACAAATTTAAGGATCACTGAACATTAAGCATGGATGTGGGAACTGGGTAAGGCAAGAGATATTTTTTCTTAATTTATCCAAGATATTATTCTGGGCATTCTGCAGTGGGTGAATGTGCGTGTATTTAACCCTGCATTTAAAGTTGTACTATTGAGCACAGGATGTTCAGGTGGTAGATTGAAGACAGATTGACTTTTTTTGTCATTGCTGGTTAAATAAGATTATTATTCTTCTAGAAGAAACCCTTTGGGTCTGTTCTGAAACCATTTCAGTAAACACACTGCCCTCCAGTGTTTCGATTAGGCAAAAGACGCACAATAGACCATGCACTCTTGAAAAGAAAGTTTTCCAGAATGAAGAGCAAATAACTCATTTCTTGGTGATATTCAAATAAGGCCTGGCAGACTATAGAATATTCCTGCTTTAAACACTGAAAAATCCAGCCCATATCTTGCTGCGTAGTGCAGAGAGGCTATCCCAGAGTTTGTAATGATCCTTTGGTTGTGAGTTTGAATTCTAAGAGAACGTTGCTAATACTCCAGCTTTATTCAGTCGTCTGACCTGGCTCATGATGCAAAGTCCAGGCTAAGGCATGTGTCAATTTGATTTCTCCCCCAGCCTTTCAGCAGTGGTCATATTCACCCAGCCCTCGAGAAATGATCTCCAGCACAATTCAAAGCAGCCTTAGATAGCAGCTCCGTCCTGCAGGGCCCACATCTAGAAAAACCTGTGTTTTTCTTCCTCACCCCAGGAGGAAGCCTGGCTCATTCCCTCATCTCTCTGCCCTGCCACCCCACAGAGGGGCCAATAACTCAGGTGAACCCAGGTTTGTCAGGAAAGTGTCAGGTACCAGGTACCTGTGTCACAAATTCCTGGGAGCACACACCAGACTTTCCAAACAGTCTTCTCTGTGCCCGTTTAACTAGGCACGAGGGAAAGATAAAATACCATCCCCATTCCCAGGGAATAGAGCATGGAGAAATGCACTGCACTCCAACTTCTTTCTCAACTCCTCCTGTTCTCTTCACAGACGTGTTGGACAGAACTGGGGTTTGCATCCCCTTGGCAGATGGTCTAGCACCTGGTTTTGGAGGGTGGTGGTACAGAGTGCCCATTACCTTGGACGTTTTACCTTGTGTCAGAACTGGTGTAGAAAGACCCTGCTATAACATCCTGTTACACACATAAGTAAAAGAGGGATGACAAAAGTAGGACCTACCTCATAGGGTCACTGAGAGGACCAAATAAAATAACGCTTTTGCTATTTACTCTTCCTCTTTTTTATTATTATTAGATATTTGGTCAGTGACTTTTGGGCGGTAGAGCAACAGGTGATAGCACAATAGTAAAGAGTGTGGGTTCCAAGACAGGCTGCAGGAGTTCTGAATCCCAGCTGCACCACTTAGTATTCCTGGGACCTTGAACAAGTTGCCTCCCGTGTGAGATGGGGACGGCTGCAGACGCTGCCTCATGAGGCTGTTGTGAGACTCCCAGGCGTTGCTACACTTCCACCTCCTGAACCGTGCCGGGTTGGTAGTAACCACTTCTATTAGTCAGGATTCTCCAGAGAAACAGAACCAACAGGAAAGACAGATAGATAGATGAGAGGGGATTTTTATAGGGATTGGCTCACGCAGTCATGGAGGCTGAGGAGTGCCACGATATGCTGTCTACAAGTTGGAGAACCAGAGAAGCTAATCGTGTGGTTTTGTCCAAGTCTAAAGGCCTGAGAAGCTGGGGAGCCACTGATGCTAGTCCTGGAGTCTGAAGTCTGGAGAATATGGAGTTTTGGAGGGCAGGAGAAGATGGCGTCACAACTCCAGGAGAGACAGAATTTGCCTTTCCTCTGCCTTTTTGTTCTGTTGGGGCCCTCAGCCAGTTGGGTGGTGCCCACCCACATTGGTGAGGGCAAATCTTTCTTATTTAGTTCACTAATTCAAATGCCAGTGTCTCCAGATGTACCCAGAAATAGTGCTTTACTGGCTATCTGGGTATCCCTTAATCCAGTCAAGTTGACACCTAAAATTAACGATCATATCATTCAATAAGCTGTAGTTACTGTATTTAGTTTTTTTCATCACTTATATCCATGATTACCCTTAAGATTTCTATAAGAAAAATGAGTTATTATGGGTCTTTTTATGCCCTTTTTATGCCCATTGAAATTATTTTCCAATATGAGCTCAATAAAAGAGGTTTATTGGGAAATAAACAATCAAATATAGAGGAAAAGATTCTTTTTTAAGGAGTACCAAGGAGGAAGAAATAATCTGGAGGGGATGGGGAAAGTCTCTCGGGAAAGGAGATATTGGCTGTAAGTCTTGAAGGCTGAGTAGCACTTCACAAAGTCAAAAAGAGCTGAAAGGACATTCCGAGTAATGGGTAGCACAGGGAACAGAGACATCAGAGAACCTGGCAAGGGGTGGGACACAGAGGAGGCTGAAGCGGCCGCACAGGAGGGTGTTATCAGTACGTTGTTAACAGTTTGGAAAGGGCACGTATGGCCCTGAAATCTGTTGCATAAGTAATAGTGAGGTACTGAACGTGTTTCCAGTAGGGAAGACACATAATAAGGCTTGCACTTTATGTTATTGCAGTAGCGAGGAGGAGAGGAGAAAGAGGAAGGAGACAGAGTGGCCAGATGGACCATCGACTCCTCCCTGAGACAGCAGATGAGGACTGGTATTGAGGAGGTGGGAAGAAGAGCTGCCGGGCCTGAGATGTCTCTGGGTGAGTATCTGCATGGCTTAGTGACCAACTGAAAGGGACTGGGACACATCGGTGATGATCCTACAGTATCTAGTTTGGGAGCCTGGGGAGAGCACTGCTGCTGGTGAGCACCACCGGAGATCTTCCACACAGATGCAAGAGTGCCAAGGGGTTGGGCACAGAAAAAAAGAAACACTGTCTCTCCAAACATCTTTATTATTGTCTGGACTTTTTCTTTTTCTTTCCTTCCTTTTTTTTTTTTTAACTCTAAAATCTTCAATTGTGTCGGCTGTGCTGGGAATCTCTTCTGTATAGCGAGGGCACAAGCCATAGCTGAGCTTGAATCTGACTTGCAGTCTTTCTTACTTGCTGTGACCTTGAATGAGTTACCTGAAAACTCTGAGACTCAGCTTCTCCTTATTAGCTTGCATTCTTAATTAGGAGTGATGGAAGCCCAACTGAAATTACTGGAATTACTCATGGAAGATTTGACTACCCAAGCTTCAGAAATACGGATTCCTTTCCTACTGGACTCAGGAAAGGCATCTTTTCAGTACCTACTACATAAAAAGCACTGTTCTAGGTACTGGAGAATCAGCAGCAAACAAAACAGACAAGCAACCTTGTTCTAATGGAGCATATTGTCCAGATATAACACCTGACCCACAGTAGACACAAAAAATACTGGCCACGAAGGTGGCTCAGTAGCGTGTGGGTGAACATGAGGAGTTAAGGAAAATGGTTTGGAGAGGAGCCCTGCTTTACATGTCCCCACAGTCAAGCAGTACCAGTTCCTAAGATAATTCCCTCTGTTCGTACCATCCTCTGGGACCCAGACTCACCTGGAACGGATCTCCGCTCGCTGACTTCCTGTGGAAGGTGGATGGTGAGGGGTCTTTGCTGCCCATCTCTCTCAGATTCGCCCAGGAAGAACTGGGAGGCTCCCGGGTGCAGCTATTGGCTGGGGCTTGGTTTCTGGGGCAGTCCCCAGCTGTGGCCAATACCACGTGGCTCAACAGCTTGGATGGCCCTCTTGCAAGCTTGCCCCTGCCAGGCTCCCCAGTTGCTCCAGCCACCTTACGATGGGAAGTGTCTATGAAGCATGGACTTCTGTATTGTGCAGAGGGATGACTAAGATTTTGGGCTTTGGCGCAATAGCAGCATCTCAATTACTGGCTGTATATAGAATTCCGATTGCAGGCCCTAAATAGTGAGGCCCTGACACGGGTCCCTGCAGTCCCTGCTCAGGCTAGTGGTTTAGGGTGAGGCTGGAGAACCAGATCCTATGGTTTTTACCACACGGGCCAAGGAAATTTAAGGCACCTTGGAGAAGCCTCTGAAGCCACGCCCAAGGGACAGGTTTGGATCCTGAATCTCCTTCCCCATCCCATCATTGCAAGTTTACTCTTGCTGTGTCTTCTGTGGTTCCAGGTAAGATTTAAGTTGGGGTGGATGGGAATAATTATGTGTGTGTGTGTGTGTGTGTGTAACATTTTCCTGATATGTACTGATATATATTCATTCTCCAGAATATATTCTCCATATTTTGTACACACATATATACATACTCATTATATATACATATTATTTATGTGCACATATAAGGGTACTTCAAAAAGTTTGTGAAAAAAAAAAAGTTAATACAAATCTTTCCATGAACTTTTTTTTTTTTCCTTTTTGTCTTTTTTCGTGTCCGGCAGCGGACCGCAACCCTCAGTGTTGCGCCCGTACCGGACCGGGACCGGCAACGGGATCGCAACCCTCGGTGCTGCACCCGCCCCTCGCTCAGCCAGTGAGCGGGAACCGGTCTGTATGTGGGATCCGAACCCTCGGCAGGAGCGCCGCCGCACTCCCAAGCGGCGCACTGTAGCAGTGCGCCACTGGGCCGGCCCTCCATGAACTTTTTGAAGTACCCTTTTGTGTGTGTGTGTGGCGCACTGTAGCAGTGCGCCACCGGGCCGGCCCTCCATGAACTTTTTGAAGTACCCTTTTGTGTGTGTGTGTTTGTGTGTATTCACATTAGATAATTGCTACAATCTGTTTCGGCAATAACACCCTATGATTTTTGTGTGACCAGAGACAACCTTTGCATTGGACAGGTAAGTCAATCAGAAGATGGTTTGTACAAATTCAAAGTTTTAATGGCTGTTAAATAATGAAAGGAAGGATATTTGCACTATACACATTCTGCCCACTATGGTAATGTCGGCTGGCCATGCACATTTTATTGCACTTATAAACAGTGTACAAGGATCTCGAAGACATCTTAGCCATACAAAGACTGCATGTAAAGAAAAGAAAGCCATTTACAAAATACTGAAGCCATTTATATTATACAGCCAACTTCAAGAAAATACTAAAAATTAATATCAAAAGAAATATTTTAATTTTGAAAAAAAATCTCTCAAAACAATGATTACAGAGCTTCATGTTTCCATATATACATGTAAAAAAAATATTTCAGGACCCTGCATTCTGAATGCCCACGAAGGTGCAGCAGTCTAAATTCCTATGTATATATTCAACCTTTGAATGTTACTTAAATTGAATACACTCTTTGTCCAAAATGTCTTTCTTCTTTACATCATTCTGCTATTTGACAAAACAGATATTTGTGCAGTATAGGAAAATATTAAGATATATTTTAAGTTAGGATAAAGTGCACAGTACATTTGATAGGAAATAATTGCTAGCTGCCAATCCGAATTTCCATTTTCAGAAACCCCTCCATCCTCCCTAGAGGGAGGGCAGCCTGTGCGTAGGTTGGTGTTAGTCAGTGTTGAATGTACGCTGTCCTTCTCCTGGTGTCTTTTCTTTTGTATTGACCTTTACAGTGTCTTACGAATTGTGGCTGCTGCTACTCTAAAAACTTCTAATGGCTTTTCACAGAGGTGTGAGTGCAGACAGCAGGCACAAGACTTAGAAGATTAATGGCTGGGATATCTGTAACTGCAGCGTGAGTGTAGATGCATGGAACGGTCTAAACTAGCTTGTTGTGCCTGGTGAAGCTTTCTGTGCATCTCTCATACCAAGCCGGTTGCTTTCCTTTGCTGGTTCTTCTCTATCCTGTTCTGTTTGCGCTTGCCCGCCCCTGGGCCACTCAGCCTCACAAACTCCACTTACTAAACCCCCTCCTCAGCCCGCCTGGGGGCTGCAGGTAGCTTCATACCTCACTTCTGAGGTTTCACACCAGAGACCGTGAATCTTGCAGTATTTTACGGACGACTTTGAAAACCACCCACTAAACCACAATAAAATGAGCACGTCTACATCTCAGAATCATTTCCTCTTTTAAAACTGGCAGTTGTGAGAAATATTGGTTTCCTGATCCAGGTCCTACGTGCCTGGAGTAATCTTTGATCACTCAGTTGAAGCTTCCCTTAAAAAACTTTTTGGTTAAACAATAAACTTTTTATCATCTCCACTTACCTATGCCATTTCCTCTCTGTCTACCTTTGGTGCCAGACTCTCTTCAATGTAACCCAAGTTACAGTGCAAAATCATACTTCAAGACACACATGATGCTAATACTCATTACTTCTCTGTGTTAAAATGTGAATGTTTTGTGCATAGCAAAAGAAGTATGAGTCCAAAAAAATAATTGTTCACATTTTATCTTCAAGTTTAATATGTCTTTTTTTTTTCCATCACAGCTATTTACAAATAACTTTGGGGTGCTCTCTTGATTTCAGTCAGTTCATTATATTGGGGGACAATAGGGCTGCTGGAATGTAGGAAACTGCATGGAATGCAGAAATATAAATAAGACCAATGTTCCACAAACCAAAGTGTAAAAAAACGCCTCCCCAGGAAACAGTTCTTTGTCACAGAAGCACCTGTTTTTTGCTTAATTTTTTTTTTCTGAATCATAGACTGTACATCAGAAAACATGATTACTGAGACCCAGAACTACTGCACACCAAAGAGGATAGAAAATAACTCAATATTTATAATATTAAAATAAAGTGTTTAACCACAAAAAAGCAGTAATAAAATAGTTTCCTAATTTACAATTTGCATCCAAAGGATGAATAACAACTCACTAATAAATAATATTTATATAAATATTTTGTATGTCGAAAATACTTTTTTAAAAGGCAATGGTCTCAAGAAACTTCCTGAAAAATTTGGTGGTGAAAAACCTGATTGTGCCCCCCTCCCCCCACTAAATATCTAATGAGTTTGGCTTTCATAGAACAAATGCGTCTTGTGCTTGGCGTTCTGGTAATGGCAGTCGGTGAGTGTGGAAGGGAGGAGGGTGGCACAGGCGTGGACGTGCTGCTCAGTTCTTCACCAGCTCCCTCAGTGGTCTCAGGATAAATACCTGTCCGGTCTTCACGTCGGAGGTCAGCTCTGCAAGGTAGAAAATCCTCCCTTAGACTGGAAAACCTCCTCAATGCAACTAGAGTCGGGGAAGTGACAGGCAGTGAGTGGGAGAGAGGGTGGAATAGGTGCTGGGAGCAAAGTCCAGGATCCCTGATGGGGGAAGAGTCTGCGTGGACCCAAAGGAATGGGGTTGCTTTCATGTGAATAGAGCCTTCGTGATGGTGACGTCTAGTAATGCTTGAACGGTAATGCCCACTTTGACCAGGCCTTTCTCTTCAAGGATGTGATGGGGTAGACATAGTTTTTCCTAAAAGGAAGAAGAGCAAAACATCAAGTTATAGGTGATCGGACTCTAATCATAAAATCCTGCCACATCACTGCTGGGAATTAAGCTGAGCACTCTCTGCAGTTTGCCTGTCCGACCACCTCACTCCATGCTCTTTCCCTGTTTTCAACCCACTGCAAAGACCTTTTCTGTGTTTGCAGAGAAGATAATGATTTTTTACATGGGCAGGATGTTCCAGAAAGACTCCTAATCACCCTAAAATCTGAAATAGATCTAAACATTAAGAAACTTTCACACTCAATAACTGAGCTACGTAGAGCTGGTCAAAACCACACACCAAGAGTATGATAGCTTACATTATTATAAAGCAAAAGTGCAAATAGCCTCTCACACATTTTAAAGCAGTTCAGACACTCATTTCTACAGACCACGCACTGTTACACTGACTGTAAACCTTGATCTAATTCGTTTTATTTTCTGTGATCTCTGGAAGGGAGGCATGTTGGTAAACTGGAATCCTTTCCTCATGGTTTCTGAACAGCCTTATAAATACGTAATTTCAGCCACAAACCTCAATAACCTCTCTTTTAAGCCTCCTTCATAAAACTGTCAAAGACACAAATGTCCTACTACTGTCTCCTGTTGCATTTTTGCTCTTGGGAAGTGTCCAGCACGTGCTACTTCAGGGGAAATAATCAACGTATGTCACTTCCGGTGTGTAGAACCTTTCATGCTCCATAAAACAGTTTACAAAATACCATGATGAAGTAATTGTACACCTTTGTTGTTTGGCCCTGGTCTGATGTCATACAAGGGGACACTTTCCAGGATATGCGTCCTTGGCTGGGAAAAGACTGCACATCAAATACTCTCTCTCATCTACCTGATGGTGGGGTGGTGTGTTCCCCACAACTCAGTGGTCACTGTTTCTTTTTTCTTTTTTTAATTGACAAATAAAAATTGTATATATTTATAGTGTACAACATGTTTTGATATAAGTATACATTGTGGAATGGCAAAATTAACATAATCCGTTACCTCCTTTTTTTGTGTGTGGTGAGAAAACATAAAATCTCCTCTCAATTTTCAAGTGTACGATACATTGTTATTAAGTGGAGTCCCAATGCTGTACAACAGATCTCTTGAACTTACTTTTTGTCTAACAAATTTTATATCATTGACCAACACCTTCCCATTCGCCCCAGATCCAAGCAGCTACCATTCTACTCTCTGCTTCTGTGAGTTCAACTTTTTTTAGATTCTACGTATAAGTGACATCATGTGGTATTTGTCTTCCTGTGCCTGTCTTATTTCACCTAACATTAATGTCTAGGTTCATCCATGTTGTAGCAAATGACAGGATTTCCTTTTTTTCTTCTTTTGGAGTATTTAGATGTTTATTAAACCAAGCTTTTAAATTATATATCCATCTACAGTCTGTAAACAAATATAGTATACATGTAAGTAAAAAGCTAACAGTGGAAAACTAAAGTTCCTTTTGCACACTGGCACCTCACCATAACACCCTCCTTAGGTCAATGACATGGGGCCAGGTTATAGTTGAGTTAAAAGAAAAACCAGAAGTTTATCTTGACTCTATCTCGTAGGGTGGATTTCAAGACAGATATTCCACATTATAGTAGGGTGAATTACAGAAAGCAAATGTAGTTTTAACATTCACAGATTGGCTGAAATAGTACAAATTAAGCTTCTAATCTAGGTGTCTCTCTACTTATCATAATTAGTAAGAAATGTGAATTAAAACAAATGACAAACCACAGGTGGTTACAAAAATAGGTAACTCATAGAATAATAAACATCTACAGTTAGCAGAGCATAAACTTTTAAAGTTTACCATTTTCCGTAGTGTGCAGAGTATTACAAGTATGTTCAGGAGGTACAGTCAGCAGACTTCAGGGTGGTAGGAGGGCATTTGTAAAGAAAAAGCACTCAAATACAAAACCCAGAGTAGGAAGCTGAATGAATATGAGACTATACAAACACACGATCCTGATTCCTCACACCTCCTTATCCTACTTATAGACACTACAATTAGCTTATAGCCCTTTATGTATCTTAAAAAGTAACTCTGTTACCTATGTATAAACTTTAAAAAAGATTTATCAGGAGACAAGCAAAAATTAATTTAACAGTGACACTAAAACCGTTGAAACTTTCAAGGCTGAATAGTACTGTTTTTTTTTTTTTTTTGAATAGTACTGTTTTTAAGGAGAGTTGAAATCTGCATTAAGCCCCAGGCAGCCCAGCCAGTGTTTAGCATGAAGCCATTCAGAGTGCCCTGCGCAGGACCACTTCCTTCTGGAACTCCTGCTTGAGGAACCAGATCTTCCTGAGGCTTCAGTACAAGACTCTCCATAAATTACCACAGACACACTCACTTTTCCCTTAAAAAAAAAAATATTCCAAGGACACACCAAGACATCTCCAATAACTTGTTCCACTGTCTCTGAATGTCAGCAGGTCCTGCACTCTCTGGCCATAGTACTATCCCTCTCCCCTCCCCCTACCATAACCATGGTAAATTGAGAGACTCTTAGGCTTTGACCCCCAGGCCTTAGGAAATGGCCACGTCATCATAAGACTGTGGATTCTTTAAGCACAATTTTAACCATAATTTCATGTAGCCACTGTGTATCAAATGGAATTATTTTGTCCATGCACATTAGATGGGCCCACAAGTTTATCCTGCTTGTCAATTCAGTAGCCAAATGTCACCCTGAGAAAGGATGGGGCTTCTGTCTGAGCTCTGAGCCGTGAACCCTGAACCAGGCTGGTATAAACTGTGCCTCCTCCTGTGGCACAGTGAAGGGACATCTGCAGCCAGACATCAGTGTCCATCCTTTGCTGGCACCAGCTGCTCCAGGCTTGTGCGGTCACTCAAATCTGGCCTTTCAATGCTAAGGCTAATGTCACAGGGTAGGGGTGCGTCTTCCTCATTCTCACAGCTCCCACAGCACCCAAGTCGACATCTGGCTTGACGGGAAATTATAGATGGCTACTAAGCTAAGCTCCTGGTGCCAGGCATTACTTGGGAAAAATAGGTCTTCACTTCATAAAATATGCTAAAATCAATTTGAAATGAATTAAGGAGTTTAACACGTTTAAGAAAAACAATGAAAAAAAAATTTAATTCTTTCTCTGCTAAATGGATAGGGAAGGACTTTCTAGCTAAAAAAGCAATATTAAAAAATCACAAAAGAAAAGACTGGAACAATTGATGGCCTAAAAATATAAAGCTTCCATGTGTCAAAAAAACCCCAAATTAATGAAAAGATAAACAACAAACTGTAAAAAAGTATTTGTATCAAATCACAAATTACAAAGCATTCTATATGGCACATAAGCTTAACAAATTACTAAGAAAATCTCTAAGAGGTTAACAGAACACTGGGCAAGGAATGTGAATAAAATTTTGTAAATGAGGGATCTGCTCAAAGCAGTGGAGCAAGATGTTTTGCTTCTCAACCTCACTGTTTATGTTTAGTCCCGAATGTACCTGAATTGTAGTACTAATCGTATTTCCACAAAGCCTAATCTCTGTACAAAATGGCTTTTCTCCCAAGTCCTGATAGGATGATGGGAGAGTGGCACGTCTTCTCTAACAGGGACTTCCACATGCCCATTGATGAGTGGTAAGGTCACAGGAGGGAAGGGCTGGGGGCTCCAGAGAGACAAGGATGGGAAGGTATTGAGGCCTCAGCCTCCTACTAACAGGACACTTGGAGGCTTCACAGACTGGGTTAGGTTAAGCACCCTCTTTCCCAGGCCTGTAGTTTTCTTTTTTTTTTTTTGTCTTTTTGTCTTTTTTCGTGCCCGGCAAAGGATCGCAACCCTCAGTGTTGCGCCCGTACCGGGACCGGCAACGGGATCGCAACCCTCGGTGTTGCCCCCGCTCCTCGCTCAGCCAGTGAGCGGCCGGTCTGTATGTGGGATCCGACCCCTCGGCGGGAGCGCCGCCGCGCTTCCCAAGCGGCGCACTGTAGCAGTGCGCCACCAGGCCGGCCCCCAGGCCTGTAGTTTTCTTTTTTTTTTTTTGTCTTTTTGTCTTTTTTCGTGCCCGGCAAAGGATCGCAACCCTCAGTGTCGCGCCCGTACCGGGACCGGCAACGGGATCGCAACCCTCGGTGTTGCCCCCGCTCCTCGCTCAGCCAGTGAGCGGCCGGTCTGTATGTGGGATCCGACCCCTCGGCGGGAGCGCCGCCGCGCTTCCCAAGCGGCGCACTGTAGCAGTGCGCCACCAGGCCGGCCCCCAGGCCTGTAGTTTTCCAGCTAGTATTTCTCACCTTCCTGGTCTCCGCACTCCTAAACCAGGTGCAGATTCCGACTCTCCCTTCCACCTTCACAGCTAGTAATGAGAAATAAACAAAAGACACAGAAAGGTGGCCCTTGCATCCTTCCTGCCATTCTCTTTTCACTCAGTCCTGCAGAAGCCCAGAGGTGCCCTCAGATTACTTTGATGGGGCTGGAGGTACCTAAGACGACCAGCATAAAAAGGCAGAAACCTTATAAAAACCTGGCAGTTCTGGTTATTTTATCATGGGACTGGGATGAAGACTGATGGGAATTACAACCTGAGGGGCTAGTCAGAGCCTTCTAGAAGCGGGGAGGCGTATGCAGAAGTGGCCTGACTGCCGTTCTCCAGCACACCAGTCTTGCTGCTGCCCCTCCCATGGGGAACGATCCCTGAAGGGGCGATGGGGAAGGAACCGCTGTAGAGTTACAGCTAGACAAGGAATAGCGCAGAAGAGAAGGCACTTCTAAGGACCAGGCAAGTGAGGTGGCCCTTCCAGAATACCCCTTGCACATAATGGACGTAAAGCAGAGAGAGCTGTACCTTTATACTGACTTTAACTGAATTTAAATTCAACTGTTTTAGGATGCTATAGGTTTTCTTTGAGAATGTGACAGCACTCTTAGTACATCCATTGGCTTCTTTTGTTGCATTTCTTTTTACAGCACAAAGCAGAAAGTCATAAAGTGGTATCCTGCATAGAAATAAT